ACAAGTAGTCTCTGTTTAAAAGATGAGTAAATGATTTTAATTTGAAATTCCATACATTGGCTTAATGTTTCCCCTAAAAAAGCAGCACTTTCTCACATACCTAAAATCCTGTATTTTTATATTTATCATCTTTTCATCATGGTTGGGTCACCTTTAGTAAGCAGATTAAATCAATTCTCAGGACCACCATCCTTCTAGATATAATTTTAAAGCATTAAAAAAATAATGTTTATGTAAGTAACATATGTTTGTTTTATAAAAATTTTTATAAAGCAATAAAAAGAAGAAAAGTTGTCCAGAATTGTGCAACCCACAGAAAACATTTGTAACTTTGTGAGTCAGTTCTTTCAGATTTTTCTTTATACCTATACATCCAAATATATGCCTAAATGTTATTAAAATAAGAATATTCATAATACCATTGTATAGCAGTTTTCTCCTTAGCAATATGCATCTTGAATATATTTCACTGTCAACAAATAATCTTTAAGTTTTCATTTTTAGCAGCTTGATATATTCTATTTTCTGGTTGTATCTTTTTTTAAAGCAAACCTTAATTAGTGAGCATATTGTTGTTATTTCTAGTTTTTTAATATTTTATACAAATACATAAATTATCTGCTTTCATAATTATATGAGTCTGATGATTTCCTTATGATGTATCCCTAAAAGTGGACCTTGTGTGTCAAAAACTGTGTGCCTATTTTAAAAGCACACTTCACTACACTTCTGATAAAAGTAGGTATTATCATTATATTAAATATTTAATTATTGGTTAGAAGAAATTATATCTAATTATGTTAATTTGTATCCACTTGATTCAAATTCATTTCAGCGTCTCTTCATATATTTATTTCTAGATTTCTTTGAAATACATTTCTTGACAGAAAATTTTTTTCATAACAGAAAGTTCAGAAAATAGAGATAAGCTAAAAGTAAAGATATTATAATCTTTACTGATACTGCCCAAAGATAACCAGCATTTACATTTTAATTTTATTCTCTCAAAATGTTTTTCTTTGCTTTTACATATATAACTAACTCCTACTTTTACATATAGCTACAAAACTTGGATCATAGTTTATATACTGATATGTAAAATGATTTCAACTTATCAGTAAGTTCAGTACCTTATATATAAATTCAATATTGTTTTGTAATCTTTTTTCTTAAAAATACAAAATGAAGAATTTTCCAGATGATTAAATATTATTTTACAGTATCATTTATAAATGTATATTACTCCATTTTATTCATGTATATAATTTATTTAAATAATGCATTATTAATTGGGCAGAATTCACATTATTAATGATAACTTGATATACATCCTGATATATATAGTTCATGTCTTTCCGTGATTACCTCTTTTTAATAAATTTCTACAATTAAAATTGCTGGAACAAAATGTGTGCAAATATCTGAGGTTTTTTGACATTTGAATTGCCCGATTGCTTCAATATAGTTTATCAATTTGCACTCCCAGTGGCAGTATATAAAAGAGAGCCTCTTCCTCCATTCTCTCACCAGCCAACACAATGTGCAGTTTTTGNTGTGTGTGTGTGTGTGTGTGTGTCCAATTCTAAAAGTTGATTCCTGACATAAAAAACAAAAACAAAATACCCTCATTTTTTCTGGAAATCACCAGTTTTGAAAACTCCATTAACAACTACCAAAATTGTCACATTGTATCTATATCACACTCTGAGAAAGTGCCTAAAATGCCATACTGAATTTCCTCTCAAGTAAAGCCACAGTGATAGAACCACAGAAATGCAAGAGCACAATGCCCCTGAGATATTCCTAGATGCATTGATTTTCATTATACTTTTTTTGCTTTTCTTATTTTTAGNCATCATTTTTTATAGCTGAACTATCATCCCAAGAGACAACATATGCAACAAATGATAATATGTTTATTGTCCTGAGGACTTTATTTTATTCCACTCAATGTTACTTTGCTTTTGAAAGATAACCTTCATAACCTGCTTCTACTATTTGAGCTTCTAGCTTAGTCCATGAAAAGTGTCATGCTTGCTGGCACTGTCCTGGTTGTTACAACAATCACATCAACCTAGGAATATTTTCAGATTTAGAAGAAAGGATTTGAAAACAGGATTTCATTTGAAATGTTAAATTTCTGGTTATTCAGAAAGTTTCTAAGCTTTATGTCATATCCAATTGTTAAATAAGAGCTTCCTTGTCTCCAATACTAGTCTTGATTTCTAGGATACACAAAGGAACAATTTATCTGGTAACAACTTGAAAGATTCATCTAAATCTAGATTCTCTGTTCTCTGGAGAATGTACTAGGTTACCTCTCAGAGGTTTTTTTTTACACAGGTGGTTACGTTGTCAGTACTGAAGGGTCCTGACAACCACTTCTTTGACCTTAGCAGAAGAAAAGTGTTGTTGTATCAAAATTCCTCTATAGCATTTCTGAAATAAAAGTGCAATAGTCTCTTTGCATTTACATTTCAGTCTCAGAAGATTTCTGAAAACCACACTGACCAAATGGGTTCATTCACTATCAATGACAAGCTGTTTAGAGTTCCTCAGTGTTCATCCTTGTATTTTCTTGGAACTCCCTCAAAATATCCATGGGTGTCCTAGCTTTCTTCTGAGATGCTAGAATCTGCATCTACATTTCTAGAGTGATTTATAAATTGTCAATTTAATCTCCCATAATAAGACTTGTTTAGTACAATAATTTTATAATTTACTTTAAAAATTGAGGTATGGTTATACAGTAATAATTGCTCTTTTGTTTTTAAGCAAACATGCCAAAACAGCTAAATGAGTTGCCATTCTAAGTTGTCTTTTGGGGAATGTGTACTTACCGCAGGAACACTGTTACTGCACAAAATGGTTTTGGAATTCCTCTTTTGGAATTATCTTTAAATCTAGATTGTGACAGATATCATTAATCAAAATTGTTTAAGCATGTAGTATTTTGGGAAATAAACTTGACTGAGATAAAATCTCTGGTCTTAACAAGCTTATAGTAATCAATAAGAAAACAAGTATGTTATTGAGTATGTAGTAAAGTCTATTTGTTTGATTTTCTAACCAAAAGCAGTACTCATACAATCCAATTTAGACATACACCTTATTTGGTTTAGCATGCTATGATTATGGTTATGTCAGAAAAACAAATTCACCATTTAAAACAGTGCTCCAAGACATTCTCTTTGGAGAAGTAAATTCTGGTTAATTTGCTTTAAAAAGTCAGTCTTGTTACCTTAATAACATTTAACACTTAGTGTCTGGGGTTCTACATTTTGGAAATTAGCAACCAATGCTTCAATGTATTAAACTTTCCAGTTTCTTCTCTGAAAGTTATTGCCTTTAGGTAGAGCATAATTTCAGTAAAGAGACATGAGAGGAATTTGATTCAATGTCATTGTCATAGAGTGTCTGCTGTTTTCATCTTTAAAACATCTCTGTGAATGACAGGCAGGATGAAAGTGTATATAGAAATTAAATCAACTAATTCTGTATTGAAAACTTCTTAAAGTATTTGAGGAGTTGAGAAAATGCTTAACCTCAAAACTTAAAATGACTTAGACATTTCCCCATACCACTTTCTATGCTATCACACTTGCTATCAAAAGTTTTCCTTCCTTTTGTCTTTAACAGTATACCTGATAGGAAAGGGTCAGCTAAGATAGTAATATGCATTTTTGTGTGTATGTTTTCTCTTTTCTATACAGATATTATATAAGAAATCAGATTTTTTCCCCTGAATTCAGTTCTAGTTGTATCTGCTCATTTCTAAACACTGAGTTAAGCAGAAATTCCAAATGTTGACACTTTCCATTATACAATATTATTATGTATATTGTAACCTCTGTAAAATTCCACTGTACACTCATGGGATTCTGAGAGTAGAACAGGCTGTAAAGTTTTACTATTATTATAAACATCATTTCAATCTCATGAACCCCCTGAAATGCTCTTGGGGACCCCCATAGATGCTTAAATGACAGTTTGAGAACCACCGTTACAGATGTTTTATTAAGAAAAAGCACCGTCAAAACTAAAAAATATTTCAGTAGTTATTCAATAATATAAATCTAAATTATGATAGGATCTGTGAAATAATAAGTTTTAAAGAAGTAACCTTGAAAGCATAACTGCAGCTGCATGCCAAAGACTGCAGATCATCTTAAAGGTTCCTGAATTTAATTTGAAGTGGATATGATTGGAGTATTTAGCTCCATAAATTTAAATCATTGAAGAATTTTGATGTTGAAAAACAAGTAAACAAAAAAAATGAATTCCTTCTCTTTGGTTTCCCATTATGTGAATTTCAAAGTATAATTATGACATGTTTCCTGTATACTAAT